GTTTATAGGGTTTAGGGGTTTAGGGGTTTAGGGTTTAGGGGTTTAGGCTTTAGGGCATTGAGGTTTAGGGTTTAGGGGTTTAGGGGTTTAGGGGTTTAGGGTTTAGGGGTTTAGGGTTTTAGGGTTCTAGGGTTTACCCTAAGGGTCCATGTGCCCAAATAGTAGAAACTTTGGTGCGCCCGGGCTTGAAGGTTTGGTTTTGGGGGTTTAGGGTTTAGGGTTTAGGTTGTGGGGGTTTTGGAGGCCCCAAGTTATCTTTCCCTAAGGGTTCATGTGCCCAAATCGTAGAAACTTTGGCCTTAAAGTAGTCCCTATATAGGTACTTTGGGGCCAAAGTATATACTATTTGGGTACATGGACCCTTAGGGTAAGGTCCCAGGCTTTGGCTTCGCTTTAGGGCTCACAGTTTCTAGGGGTTTTGGGGTTTAGGGTTCCGGGTTTCTAGATTTATGGGGATTCTGGGGCTTTGAGGGGTTTAGGGTTCAGGGTTTCTAGGGGTTGTGGGGGTTTAAGAAGTTTTTGGGGGGTTTGGGGTTTAGGGGTTTTGGGGGTTTAGGGTTTAGGGGTTGGGGTTTAGGGGTTTGGGGGGTTTAGGGTTTTGGGTGTATGGGGTCCAGGGCATCACACTCTACCCTGCAGTCTAGTCCTACGTAAGGAACAAACGTTTACAGATGGTATCTGAACATACATTTTTCAAATTATAACAGTGACAAAGAGAGTCTCAGGGTTGACAAAACGTCCGACAGCCTGTGTTATGGGCGTTTAAATAATTTGTTGGGTCGTAAGGCATCCCTCTGTGAATCGTTGGCCACAAAGGATCGTACAGTTTAGGGCCTACTTAAAGCGATACCGGTACCAGCTAGAACACTTCAAACGGTTTTCTGAAAGAAACTAGTAGGAGGAACATTATAAGGGATTCTTTAAGGGATACTATAAGGGATACTAGGAGGATATTAAAGGGGTTGCTATAGGGAATAGGGTTGCGCTGATTTGTCTGTCACTACTCCCGGGGAGAACGTCTTTATAGTGCCAGTGGCTGTTTTAGGGTTTACGATTTAGGGGTCTAGGGTTTTTGGCGTTTTTCAGGGTTTAGACGTTTAGAGTTTACAGAGTAAAGGGCGAGTCGAAACAAGAGGGGTTCAAAATCCCTGCTGCTTCTCTCTATCAGGTGACAAGGCCCTCCAGAAGCTCTTGTCCCATACATGACCCCTATAAACCCCACAAGCCCGAAACCCTCATACTGCCGGGCCCAGCTTTCAGACAGTGGGCTCGGTCCAGCTAGCCGTCCTTGGACACCTCTGTCCGGGCATCTGCTGCATCTGTCAACGATCCTAGAATCCACTTTGGGCTTGAAAGCCTTGCACTGCTAAGCCGTGCTGAAAAGGTCCATTTTTGGGACACTTTCTGCCTCTGCTGGGCGGCACGGAAGACAAAAGCGAGTGTCATGATACCACATGGGCCAAAACTTCCCAAACAAAAGTTGCAAAAGCACACGGTTAATTTGCGTCAATCTTGTTCCACACCCCGGATGGGAGGGCAATGAACTGAATCGCGAAGTCCTCCATCTTCCAGAGGCGGCTACGGAGATCCTCGGACAACTGACATCTGCTTCGGGTTTGGGGAGTTTGGGGTAACGTAGGGGCCTTAATAATTACCTCTACTATTTCGGGGGTTCCTTATTATAGTTATAGTATAATGGGTCCCAAAACCCTATATTTCTGGGTATACGTACGATCTTGCGGTTGAGGGCTTGTCGAACCAGTAGGCGCTTCGCAGGGACCGTGGTAGCCGTCGTTGCAGTCGCAGCAGTAGCAGTAGTAGTAGCAGNNNCAGTGGCAGTAGTAGCAGCAGGAGTATTATTATTATTATTATTAGTAGTAGTAGTAGTAGTAGTAGTAGCAGTAGTAGTGGTTCGTCGCGTTCTTCGTCGTCAACCCTCCCCGTCGTCGTCGCCGTCGCAGCTGTGCTGGTCGTTGCTGTCGATGTGCTACTAAAGTAGAACCAGAAGTTGTTGCTGCTGCCGTCCGTACTGGCAGCCGCGGACCACCACGTCCAGTCACGACGAATTCTCTTATATCAGCCTACTATATTCTGCCTACTAGCATACCGCGGCCACGCTGACGGCACGGACGAAGAGCATCACGAAAGCTCTAATTAGTAATGAAAGTTTACCTCCTCAACCGAACCCACCTCTTGATCTTGCAAGTCTCGCTGATTTTCTGACTTGCATCATTGATGTTGTCAACCAGAGTCTCGTAGTCTGCCTTCAACAGGGAGATGCTACTTATTAAGAGAATGTACTGTTTAGGGCCTTGCACGGTGCATAGGCTGCACTTCAAAGCTTTGCCGGAAAGCCATCAGTATCAAGGTCTAGGCTTGTAATGCAAGTTCTGTCACAAATCACTGCATTCTGCGACTGATACTGTGCAATTACCAATTTCTGCTGCTGTTTAGCGGCAGGTCCTGCTGCTGCCGTTGGACTTCGGGGTTCAGACTGAACTTGGGCGGCTGACCGCTGCCACTCCCGCAACAGACTTTTGACGAAGCTTGTCCGCTGCAACGGCTGCTGCTGCTGCTGCTACTACTGCTGCTGAGCTACAGCTACAGCTACCACAAGTTCTACGACTAATGTCTTCGCGTGGCTTGTTGTCGCGACTGTCATTGAACTGTGTGGACTGCTTGACTGGCGAACTCGGAAAGATCTGCCTGCAGCTGCTGAGCATACTTGTTGTCGTACTTCTCGATTTCCGGCTTCAGCTTCAGCACCTTTGATCGTTGACCGTAAGCATAGACTAGTTCTTCGGAATATATCATCTCGATACCAGCTTGGATTCAAAACTAGGCAAAGCGTAGCGAGCGAGTTTTAGTTTAAAGATCATGAGGAATATGCTGAAGACAACGTATGGAGCATCCGCAATGTTTGAGTGTAATCCTTATTTTAGAGCTCTGCTGCATCCAGCGCACCAGGTTGATCGTCTTCTGACTCTGCAGGAGGATCGTGTTGTTGGGCGCAGCAGCAGGGAGCGGGAAGGAGCCGTTTGCACGCCAGCGTTCTGGATGCTCACCATGAGGCCCGTAGGGGGAGGAGGTGATAACGTTTCCAACACCCCAGCGCTTCCGGTCGACCATGGTGATGTAGTTCCAGACGGCCTCCATCTCCTTGTTCAGATACCTGTGGCTTCTCGATTTGTTTGGAGAAGGGGCTTCAACAGCGGCAGAAGACGACGGAGAACATAGGGCGTTCTGACATATGAGGGGGAACCAACACTGATTTCCTAACTTATATGACCAGTCACAGAATCCGGGAAGACAAGCTGCTCAGGACTACTACAGAAAGAGCCCAGAGGGTGCAACACTGCTGATCAAACTTGGTTCACGGATTTCGCTGCAGAATCAAGATCTTCCGCCCTGGAGAAGGTTGCAAGGGCTGTGCCAAAAACAAAAAGACTGTTCATAGACAGTCAAACGCCCGGAACGAGACATCGACACTGCCCTCTCCCCAGCCCTAACCCTAACCCTCAAGGTACCTACTATATAGGGCCCTAGGGGCCCTAGTACCCTATATAGTAGGTACCTGGAAGGTTAGGGTAACACCTAAACCCAACAAGCAACTGTGATTCCACAATCCCGGATCCTCTTGATGACGTACTTTCGACGGAGGCGTAATACAGAAGTCTGAACACCCTAAGGGTCATGTACCCAAATAGTATATACTTTGGCCTTAAAGTAGTCCCTATGTAGCTACTTTGGGGCCAATGTATATACTATACGAGTACACGGACCCTCAGGGATAGTTGGACGAGGGGTTGGGGGCTTTGTGATGTATGTGCATTAGGAAACGCTGGGGGAATATTCATATTCCTAATTCTTCAGGCTTCTGGATTGCCAAAGAAAAATCCTTATCCTAAACCTACACCCTAAACGGCCCAAAACTCAAAACCCTAAATCCATAAAGACAGCCAAGGTGCATCAAGATCATGTTGATGTACCTGGCCCTTGGAGGGAGTTCCTGCCTGGAAGCAGCTGATGCGCGTGCAGGCTCAGGGTATAATAAGGGTCTATGTACCCAAATGGTATATACGTTGGATTTGAAGTAGCCGCTACGTAGGTCCTGTGGGGACCGAAGTATATACTATTTTGGTAAATGGACCCTCAGGGTAGGCTTTGAATTGCTTTGTCAGTGAGAACTGAGCCGCGTGAATGTTCTAGTTGCCATAAAGTTTTCTTCTGCCAGGACCTCCATGGGTAGTTCTCTAAATTAGGGTCCCTTTTCGGGTCCTCTTTATAAGAGAACTACCCGCAATGTTGTTGCAGCCAGCTATTTCTTTAAGGAGCGAAAACTAGAGAGCCCCAAACCCCAAAGACATTCCTGCGGGGCTCTTTTAGGCTATGTTGATTTGAGGGCTCCTTCCCAAAGGGTCCAAGTAAAAATATGGTAGCTACTCTGTAGCTATTTGGGCCCCAAAAGTATATACCATACCCCTAAACCCTAAACCCTAAACCCTAAACCCTATAACTTGGACCCTTTGGGCTTTTAAAAGGGTGTACGGGGTTACTACTGGGGTCCTGGGGTCCCCGCACAACGCCGGAACCTCAAACCCGGTGATCCCCAAGAGTTCCGAGCTAAACTCCAACCACCATGAAAGGAATCTACAGGTAAGGAGTTTAGGGCATATAGGGCTTAGCGTTTAGGGTTTAGGGTTTAAGGGTTTAGGGTTTAGGGTTTAGGTTTTAGGTGGGGAGTTTAGGGT